GACCTCAAAATTGTTATGACATAAGAAGTATCGGTTGTGTGTGTGTGTGTGTGTATCTGCTATTTTTATTGTTCTTGATGGCACCCTAAGATAAGCCCTAGTAGTAGCTTAATAGGTTACGAGTTGGGCTAACTGCAAGGTCGCCAGTTCAAAACTACCATCTACTGTTTGGCAGAAAGATGAGGCTTTCTACGCCCATAAAGATTGATAGTTTCGGAAACTCACGGGGACAGTTCCACTCTGTCCTATAGGGTCATTATGAGTCAAATTGACCCCAAAACAGTGGGTGAGTGATAAAAGATAATAATCAAGGCAGTTTTATATCTGAGGGAACTTGTGTGCAGCCATGCACTGACCACAGAGACATATTTAACCTTCTGTGTGGAATAAACGCATGCGTCTATGAGTCCTGGTAGCATATGTGAGTCCAAGTAGCAATGCTCTTGACTTAGCCTCATATATCTGGAACAACCCAGATGCCATTCAACAGTGTAATAGATAAACTGTATTTCTGACAATATTCTTACATCAAAACACTGTACTGTAATGAAATGACTAAACCCAAGAGAATACATGTTACATGATGCCATTTCTTTGGTGGTGTAAAACGGGCAAAAGTAATGTGTGATATTAAGGATAGTCGTCGCCTTACTGTGGGGGATGTTATACCAGGAAGGAGGCATAGGGATTTCTAGAATGCTGCTAATGCGGATTTTGTTTGTTTGTTTATTTGTTTGTTTGTTTTTAACCTAGTGGTACTTACACTAGGATGTCCAGTTTGTGATTATTCATGTAGTTGTACATCTATGATTCGTGTATTTACTATTTGTGTTTTATCCTTTACTAAAGCATTTTGAAATTAAATACTGACTGATAAACACCAATTCTCACTGCTATAGAGTCAATTCCAAATTGTAGTGAACCTAAGTGACAGCGTAAAACTGCTCCACAGGGTTTTCAAGACTGTAAATCTTCATGAGAGCAGACAGCGTCATCTTTCTCTCGTGGAATAGCTGGTCAGCTTGAACTACTGATCCTGTGGTTAGTACAGTGCTCAACCCACTGTACCTCCAGGGCTCCTTAAAACACCTGTTAGAATGGCTAAACTAAAGCAGTATCGGGTTAATTAGTACATAGGGCAACTGGAACTCTGTTACATTACAGGTGGGAATATAAAATGGTACCAACACTTTGAAAAACAGTTTGATCATTTCTTAAAGTTAAATATGGACTTACTCTAGTATCTAGGCATTTACCAAACATATAAGACAACAAATTCATACAAAAATCTGTCCATGAATGTCTATAGTGCTTTAACTCATCATCACCAAAAACTAGCAAACCTAATAAACTGGACATGGATAAACAAACTGAGGTACACTCATACCTTAAAATACTACTCAGCAATAAAGAGTCACGAAACAATACGAATGAATCTCCAAGGTATCATGCTATGAAAGCAGGATGCAGGATCAAAGACAGAGAAGTCTTTTGTTCCTGAAGATAGGAAAGGGCTAACTACAAAGGAGCGTTCTGTCTTGAGACGCTTAGACAACTTACGCGTACTTAAACATGGAAAACTATTTTTAAAGAACGCTTATTACTAGACGGGTCCCAAATGACCAACTTTTCCAAAGTGCTGTGCCACTCCATTATCCTTATTACCATTCATCACCTTCCCTTTAGCATATTCCCTCCTATCTCAGGGTTCTATAATTAGCTGCAATGGTTCAGCCAGAACTCCAGAACCAATAAGGAAATGGCTCACATGGTTGTGAAGGCTGGCAAGCCCCAAATCTGACAATCAGACCTCCGTCTGGAGGATCCTCTTCATTCTCACTAAATTGACGCTATTGGCTCACAAGCTTGTGGAAATTGATAAATCATCTCAGATCCAAAGAATCAGAGATTAGGCATAAACAAGCCAGATGCAGAATCCAGATCATGAGAGTGAACTTTTTCCAAGTTGTTCCGCACAGGTCAAGATGGGTACTTGATGGGTACAAGGTGGGTCCAGCGGATTTCCTAGAGCAGTAATTGTGTCCAGTTGATATTTGTCACCTAATGACTCAGCACTGGTCTTCTGTGCATGCTCAGCAAGTGGGAGGTCACAAAGTTGGCTTCTTGTCTACACCAAGACTTTGGTAGAGGTGTGGTTTTGTCATCTGACTTCAAAGGTTAGGTAGAGGACACATTGATAACTTCTATACATCTTAGGCAGGCCAGCTTAAGACTATACCACCAGTCTTAGGCAGTTCTGTGACCTCAAACTCATGCTTTTCTATTAAGGGAACAGCTTAAAACCCAAAGATAGATAGATCTTCCTTCAACACAGATATGAAAAATGATAGCCAATCTACAGATAGTAACCCAATGAAAATAAAAGGTGGTGACGAATCACACCCTCTAGGAAGGCGGGGACTCAAAATATATCCCACCTTAGTCCTGTTTTATTAGCATAACACAATCCACTGTGAAATGGGATTATAATAACAGGTGTGGAGGTTTTAATTTATCACACAATAGAGGATGATGGCTAGAAAAGCCATATTAAGTCATTAACTATATTATAGTATATAGGAACTTGACTTTATAGGCCCCATCTCAAACTAGTTAACTTAGTCTAAGGTAAGGTCCCCAAACCAAAAATTACACTCACTACCATGGAGTCAGTTCTGAGTCACAGGGCCCCCTATAGGGCAGGGTGGAACTGCCCCTGTGAGTTTCTGAGCCTGCAACTCTTATGGGAATAGAAAGCCTCGTCTTTCTCCTGAGGAGTGGCTGGTAATTTTGAATGGCTGACCTTGTTGTTAGCACCCCAACACTGTGCCACCAGGGCTCCTCAGGCACTGCCTTTTGTTTTCAAGCTTCCCAAGTAAGGAAGGGCATTAAACGTCTATGTTTCTTGGCTAGGTTACTATATAGCCAAGCCTGAGAACCACAGGTCTAGGTAAATCACCTGGAAAATATTGCCCTTTGGCTTTGAATCTCCACTCTTTTCAACAACCGCTTAAAAACTGGACAGAGTTTGGGTATCAGGTGAGCTAATTAACATATAGGAGGGTGTAGAGATCCTACTTTTCTCCCATTGTTGGCTAAGGGACTTTGGACAAACATTTCTCTGGGCGCCATTTTGCTACTGCTTGTTCAAGCTGGTGATTATGAAAGCATCCAGAAAGATTTGAACAGAACTTGATTTATGTAAACATTTATATCTGAGATGATAGCCTGGGAAGTACTTGATTGTTCTTACGCAGCCATGGAATTTTTATCCTTTTTTACAACCGCCTTGTGACAGACCTGACTCAGGGCTATTGTCCAAATTATACCACTAGGTGTCACCAAGGCGTGATGAGTGGGTAAGTGCGGCGGGGTCCAAGGATGAAGTGTAATGAGAACATTTTGAGAACTTGTTTTCCAGACCTCAAGGGCTTTAGAGGGAGGGACGTTCATGCAGAGGATCTAGTGAGGGCTGCAAATGTCCTGAAGCTTTACCCCAGCCTCCTGGGGACTTCTTGTTCTCCCTAGTCACGAGCTGCTTATGTAATCGTATCTCATTATTTCCTTTACTTTATTGTTTTCTTAAATGTCTGTGCCTTGGTATTAGGTGCCCTCCCATGTCACATAACTTTTGCTGAGACTCCCCCTTTTCCTCGGTGTAATCTTAAAATTGACCACTGTGCTCTAAAATTGCTTTCAAATAGATTTTCATTGCTCTATCCCTCTTCATTGCTTTTTACTCCATTTGCTGTTTCAGAATCAAGCAAAATTAATCTCCCCCTATTTTCTCAGGTTGAGATTGGTATCATACTAGCCCTATTTTATACATGAGACTGAAGCACAGAGAGATTATGTAAATTGCCGCAGGCCAAACAGTTAACAAGCCCTAGGTGGTGCAGTGGGGCTATGCATTCAAGTCTGTCTGACTCCAGAGGTCTACCTCTTAACAACCACGCTGTCTTGCCCATAGACCTCCGTTGCTGTTCATTGGGTGTGTTAGTTCGGGTCGGCTAGAGAAACAAATTCATAAACACGCATGTGTATAAGAGCTTTATAGACACGAGCAATTGAATGTTGAGAAAACATCTCAGCCTAGTTCAGATCAAGCCCATAAGTCCGATATTAACCCATGTGTCCCATACCAATCTATAAAGTCCTCTTCAGACTCACGAAACACATGCAGTGATGCCTAATGCAGGAAGATCACAGGCCAGTGGGTGGGAAATCTTGTGGATACAGTGGCAGTAGAGGCATCTCAGCACTGGCACGAGTTTCCACGTGGCTCCTCCAGCTCAGGACACTAGCATAGCTTTATGTGTCTTGTCAGCTGCAATGTCTCCCAGGGAGTGAGCATGGGTCCCGCCTCCATGGAGCTATATCTCATTAGCACCTCCAAATGAGATCATCAAGCTGCGATCTGATTGACAGGCCAAATTCTACCTCTTGATTCATAAGTCTCAAATTGACAATAGATTATGTAACTACCACATTTGGTCAGATCCCATCGATACTTTGACACCAGTACAAGGTATTGGTGTTCTCTTTATTGACTTACATATAAGTAAGTACATTGCTCATTTAACATTGTGTTCTAGGGGCATATCAGGACTAGAACTTAAATATTATCCGGGCCAAACTTGCCTCATTAACTTTATTATTAGATGCAGGTTCTCAGGCTTGAGCCATTCTTCCCCGTTCAGACCGTTAGGAGGAGCTATTTGTTGTACTGTCGTATTTATTTGAGTAATTTATCCACCCACAATGAGGTGATTCCAGCCTATTACATAGGCAATTCTCTGTGGAGAATTATTGGTGAAAAGCCAAAGTACTTATTGAAGAATATTGTTCCTAAGGATAGTGGTTTATGGATCCTTCTTTTCTATTTGTTCTCAAGGGGTTTCCTTCTGAAAAAGCAGAAGATTTTGCGGCAGCAAGAGAGAAATTCCATTAAGAGGAGGAAAATCATGAGGCTTATTTTGTCTCTCTTTTCCTCTCCCCAGAGTCTGAATGGTGTTTGGCTGAACAGAGAACGCCTGCAACCTTTAAAGGTCTATGCCATCCAGAAGGGAGACTTCATTCAGCTTGGGGTACCTTTGGAGAATAAGGAGAACGCAGAATATGAATATGAAGTTACTGAAGAAGAATGGGTTAGGTTATATCCATGTCTTGCCACTAAGTGTGATCAGATGATGGAAAAAAATAAAGGCCTGAGAACTAAAAGGAAGTTTAGTTTGGATGAGATAGATGGTTCTGGAGCCGAAGGTCCCTCAGATTCGAAATCCAGAGTGAATAAAATGTCTTGTGAACGTGGTCAGTCGGTGACATCCCATGAGAATGGTGAAGTCACCAGTCAGTCTCCTGAGATTTTGGCTCCTAAGTTGACTTCTCCTGAGACCAGTGCGAAGACAGCAGGGGCTCGTATTTACCCTGCCCCCCCAAACGATGTAGAGATTCCTCATAAGAATCAGAATGCCTCCAGCCCGTCTTTATGTCAGAGCAACTTAGAGATGTTTAAGGCAACCATGTCTAGGATTGTGATGCTGAAAACACAGATGCAGGAAAAGCAGGTTGCTGTTCTGAATGTGAAAAAACAGAACCAAAAAGGGTGCTCCAAAAAAATTGTGGAAATGGAGCAGGAACTACAGGACTTAGAGGCCCAGCTTGATGAAGAACAGGCCCAGCAGCAAGCAAGAGTGGAGCAACTGGAGAAGACGTTCCAGGAAGAGGAGCTGCATCTCCAGGTACCACCCAAGAGAGAAAGACAAAAGTGCCCCTCAGGGATGGCCAGGCCCTTTAAGCTCCTGCCAGGGAGCTCTCCATTTCTGGGCCAGGCCCAACCACTGAGTGCCAGGGCCAGGAGATGGCATGAGGAAAGCTTGACATAAGACAAGCAGATTGAGTAAAGGGTTCAGGTTTCAGCAAACAATACATCAGGGGCCAGAGTAAAGGGGTCCAAGGTAGGATAAGGTGGCCAGTGAGCCAGCCAGCACAAAACATCTCAAGATACAAAACTGAGGTGACTCAGAACCAAGATCAGTTCAGGAGGAGGGTGGATGAAGGTCAGGATGCCATGAAACCATAATACACACCGTTTGAACCAATGGTTCTTCTCTGTGTTTGCCTCTGTGGTCAGAGCCAAACAGCTCCACAGCAGGTACAGGTCCGTTACTTCCTCTGCCCTCTTTGTACCTTGCCGGTTGTTCACTGTAAGACTTAGTCAGCTAAAGCTAACTTAAGAGTTGGGAGGCTACGAAGGCAGAAAATGTTTTGGGGTCTGTCCTGAGTAGCCAGTTTGGGAGGGGACTGGTACACCAGGATTTAGTTGTTGGGTTGAGTGATAAGCTGTCTTTAGCAGAAAGGTAAAATATTTGCAGTCTTCATTCTATCAAGGTAAGGCCAAATATGTGGCAGTCACCGAGCCATTTGCTTAGATGATAAAGCGCACAAAGCTTCTAGGCTAGAGCTGATCCTGGTCTCTACTCGAAATGTCAGCTCCCATCTGGCTGGAACCATGCATTTTACTCCCACCTAGTTGCTCAGGTAATGTTGAATGTCAAGAACTCCCCATTGTTGACTTAGAACTAAGAAGGACCAAATCACAACTGTCGTGAATAAGCTTTTTTATCTTGTGTTTGGACTGCTCGGGGCAAGGAACAACCAGAAGTAGTGTTGGCTTATTTCTGAGCAATATATAAATCCGATTCTAATCTGCTAGCCCTTTGAAAGGGTAGGACTAGAGGCTTCAAAAAAATTGGGGGGAAATTTCATTACCTTTTACTGGTAATTCCATTTTCCATGAATTTTTTGAAGCATGCTTATAAATAGCAAAGGCCGTGGATTAAATAGGTCTTTTTAAGGGTACACCTGCGTTGCTTCCCTTATTCAACCCAAGTTCATCCTCAAAATTAATAAGCAGTAGCTTATCTTTATATATTTAGTGTATGATACCTTCAGCAGACAGAACTCCCTTTAAAGGCTAATTTGTTTAGCTGAAAAACAGTAAACAGTTCATTAGTATTTGTGGCTGCTCTAGTTTTACTTCACAGTACAGCTACAAATCTTTTCCCATTCTAAAATACTAAAGAAAGGCAAAAAGAACTGGTTTAAAGCATTTCTCGAACTATAAGAAGGTGATATATAAATTATTTGTAGTGGGGATGTATGTAGTCAATTGTTTATTAGATGCATTTTCTTCCACCATTGGTCATTTATCTTACCCCAGGTACTTGCTGAAGGAGACCTGGTAGCACTGTGGTGGGCTGCTAACTAAGAGGTCTGTGGTTCAAACCCACGAGCTTCTCCATAGGAGAAAGATGAGACTGCTCCTGTAAAGATTGACTGTCAAAAACCCTATGTGGGATCACTCCGAATCAGAATCAGCTCAACGGCAGTGGGTTTGGTTTGGGTTAGAACTTGCTCAGAATCTCATTTAACCCTGGCTTCTTGCTATGAACGCCCATGTTGCCTGACACTATGTTTAAAGTTCTGGTTAATTAAAAGAATGCCTACGAGATAGTTTTTGCCATTAAAGAATGTATCTAGTTGAGAAGACAAGATGTATGGTATACATGGAAGAAGAGTTTCATGTTATATTCAATTAGGGAATGATTCTGACGTGGCATATTAAATGCATTGTGAAGTGGTAAAGTCGGAAGGGAAAGACACAGACACTCTTGTGGAAGAATGCCAGTTGGTGGTCATTTAGTGATGTGGAGGACACACTGAAGGGGACAACTGGGGAAACTGTCACATCCGTTCAGGCAAGAGGCAGAAGGAGCAGTGTGTGGACTAGAAATGGTAGAAAGACTCACAATGAGAGACGGTGGCTAGAACTGAGGGCAGAAACATGGAGGCAGTCAAGCGCCAGCCTGGTGGATTACATCGGAATTTACGCAGTTAGTGGCTTCAGAAGATCTCCCGTTTGGAGTCATAGATTAGCCGGTGGACTTGGACTGTTTGTTAGTCTAGGGTTTTCCAGAACGACCCAAGTGGTGACTTAAGGGTGATAACCCTGAGGAGTGCTGCATTTGAGCAGAGAACTGCTCACATCCCTCATTACCAGCAGCTTGAAGTAAAATGGGAGATTTCCCACCTGCTCCCGGCCCCTGTTGTTTCCGGATGCTCATGCTAGCTAGTTTCCTCTGCGTGATGCTACATTCTGTCCTTTTCCTTCTCTTCCCTGTAGGGAAACCTTCCATTTTGTTTTTGGCTTTGCAGGGTTTGGAGAAAGAGCAAGGAGAAGAGGACTTGAAGCAACAGCTGGCCCAGGCCCTGCAGGAGGTAATTTAGCTCTTGCCACTGTTCTGAGATTTTAGTGGGCTGCGGAGTTGGGGGCAGGCAAGCGTTTCGTGGCCACAGGCTGCCTGTGTTTCATAGCCCACACCTCTGTGGCCCTTCCAGTCTGTAAACAGAGCAGATGGCAGCTGCTCACACCATCAGGTTGGAGATTTGGAGCCTCACAGAGATGCCAGGCCACAGCATGAAAATTCACATCTTCATCTGAGCAGAAGTTGCTCTAGTGAAGATGGAATGGAGCCTGTAGCAATTAAGAGACTCTGGGGAAGAAGCTCCACTTCCACAAAGGTGAGGGCCACACAGGAGACCATGAGAACTATGACTTGGCCACCAGTGCCTGCAAGAGTCTCCCATTACCTCATTCCTCCTGATCTGTAGCCACCCAGAAGCCATTTGAGAAAGTCCCCATGAAACATTTGAGGTCAGATTGAGAGTGTGCAGATTAACAGCGAAGCATTATCAATTCACTGAAAAGGCAAGGTTCATAGAAATAAAATTCTCTAAAAGAGTGCCTGTAACTGATTTCACTTAATTTGACTGCTTCCTTCTTTCATTAGGTTTTCATAAGCCCGTTACAACTTGCTTTTGTTTTCTGTCCTTTATGTATTAGGCCGATGATTGGAAGCAATTTTAGAATTTTGTCCGGGGGATTTTCTTCATGTTCTTTTGTTGCTGCCTCCCCCCAACCTTCTTGCTTTGTTCACATAGGAGTGAGAAGACGCCTGCCTGGATATCCTTGAAGGGCACAATTCCTTCTTTTTAGAATGTTATTTTCTGAGCTTCTTTGTTTTCTGGAGTGAGAGCGTAGGTGTGTGCCCTACCTCTAGAACATTATTCAATTAATATTCAGATATGAAATTGAAATTTTGAAATTGACTGAAAAAGAATAAGGTCCTGCTGTTTGGAAATCCCCAAGGGACCGTTGGGTACCCTGCACCATGACTTCTCACCTCGCCCTTGGACAGGCAGGGCAACGTACTCTTCACTTAGCACAGAGCACTTGACCAGTCTGCAGTCAGTAGCCTGCATGTGGCATTTTAAGATCGGGGTTCTATTCGAATGCCCCTGAGGGGAATGCTACTTTCACCCAGAGCAATAGTTGCTCTCTCGTCCATCTGCTGGTTGCTGTGAAGCTCTTTTTATTTGTTTAGCAAGCTGTTGTGAAAGCTTGCACTTACAGAAAGCATAACACACTTTTCTAAATGTTTTCATGACTGTTATTTTCCTGTCAGCATTGAGGTAAGAGGTACCCGTTGTTCCATTTAATACATGAGAAAGGTAAGGTATGCATATCTAGTTAGTGGTCAAGACAGGCCTTGTGACATAACCTCAGTTTTGAAGATCACACATTTTAAAATGTGTTTCTTGAATGATATCATTTCAAAAATATTTTGCTTTACCTTCTTTCAATACAGTGTTCTTAAAGCACCCTGGTAGTGCAATGGTTAGATACTTGCCTGTTGACCGAAAGGTTGGTGTGTAAATGCGCCAGCTGCTCCCCTGGAGCAAAGAACCTGGTGATCGGGTCCCATAAATCCTACAACCTTGGACATGTCTTGGGGGCATTTCTGCACTGTCCTCTAGAGACACTGAGTCAGAATCAACTCGAGTGGCAATCGTTGTTTTTGTTTGTTTGGATTTGAGGTAAGGTTTTCAAGCATAACCTACCCTTAGGCATGAGGGAGCTCATAAATTCTGTTCCAAAGAAGTGGAAACTTGATGTTTGTTTAGTCACAGTGAATACACTGTTAGCTCCTGGGCGTGCCAGCTTCCAGAAGACACCGGCAGAGAGAGGTCAGGCAGCATTGCCTTATGACCATGCAATGTCTGCACTGAATAGGTTAAAGATATTTTTTCATTTCAAAGCAAATAATTACCTAGGTTCTCTGAATCTCTTTTTCCCAATTCTTTCCTAAAAGCTGTTCCCAGTACTCGTTAGTCTCACAGGTACTTAGAAGTTCTTGAGCACTGCTCCCAGAATCACTTGAGCAACTTAAAAAAAATACATGTTCCTGAGCCCTAAGCCAAGCCTATAGAATCAGGCTCTGGAAGGTGGTGAAAAATATTCTTCATTTGCTTTGGGTGGTACCTGAATAGGGAATAACTGTTAGGCAAGGATTAATGGGTCTGATGCCCTTCCATCCAAGTAGGTGAGATGTTTTCAAGTAGTGAGGGCATTATTTTGAAATTGCTAATTAATTGATCCCTTGAGCCAAAGCCACTGGCTAGAGTCAGGGAACAGGTAAGTGTGTTAGAGGAAAGCGTGTAGATCACCCTGAGCTTGTCTCCGCTATGTTTCTGCAGCACCGGATTCTAATGGAAGAGCTAAATCGCAGCAGGAGGAGCTTTGAAGAGATCATTCAAGCCAAGAACAGGGAACTGGCGCAAACCAAGGTACCAGAAAGAAGATGGAGGTTTAGAGGTGGTTACTACATGCAACTCAGCATTTTCAAACAGTGCAAGGGTTGCTATGGTGAATGAAGGGAGAGGTTATGGCTGCCCCTTGCCTCAGGGGAAATAATCGGTAACATTATTCAGGCCCTCGAAGACTTCTGCCTGTAAGACAACATCTATTTCTTTTCCCTCGTTCAGAAGTGAAATGCTCGGCATAAGTCACTGACACTTCTGTGGGCGAGTCCTTTGTCAGTGGGCAGCTGCCGCTGCGGTGTCTCCCACTGTCCCGGACGGTCAAAGTACAAAATCCTTCATCCTGATTCATGCTTGCAATTCAGATCGGTGGATTTCTTTGACTAGGCTGACAAATTCAAAAGCCCACCAAGCCAGACTGGTGATAGAAGTGGCCTGGGTACAAGAACACACGAGGAAAGGGATGCTCAGGCCTTATCCCCACACATGAAGCGGCAGCCTTTCTCTGCTGTAGCCAGTTGTTGCCATCAGAAACGCAGGCATGTTATCAGACATTCTGATTTTCTTACAGAATGTAAAAATTCAAATAATTATGTGAAATATCCCAATTTCCAAATATTGGCAACAAGTTCAGTTTTGTTTTTGTTTTTTTAATCATACAATGAGCTCCAAACTAAAACCAGTCTGCAGTCTAGATCCAGTCACAGGTCACCAGTTTGCAACACCGGTTAGCAAACTCTGACCTGGAAGTAATACCTGAACTGGATTGCATCTCTCATTCCCACCCAACATAACAGACCTACAGCCAGATACCAAAAAGAAGAGGACATTTTTTCAGTTTGTGTGATATCCTTATCCTCTGTTTAAATCACATAACACCTTCTCCTCCAACTTTCATGTAAGCAACAGGGTTTTTAACCCGGTGACTCGTACGTTTTCAGGAAACCTAACTGTAGTTAGAAATGGGGCCAGACACTCTTCACTGCCCCAAACAGTCTGACAGTCTTTGCTTTGATTCAATCATAAGATAGAAAGAAAACAGCCATTCAAATATACCCTGAATAGTTCTTGTTCTTTTTCTTCTTTCCCTCCCACCTAGGCCTGTTTGGGGGATGAGATGCTGCTAACTTAAATAGCTGATAACCATTCTTCAAGAGAGCACACCTAGAATTCTCCCTAAAATGTCAGGTATCCACAAGCAGTCCTCCCTCTTGGGGAACACGCAGGGGAATTGCACTGCAGAGCTCTGTAAGAGAGAGGAGTAGCAAGTATCATAGAGCTTGGGGCCGGAGGTGATGCGAGGGGCTTTCTCTCCAGCCCCCTGGCTCCATGGAATATAGGTATTATCCTGTTTTACAGAAGAGGCAGCTGTAAAGCACTTTAGGGACCCTATCACTTAATCAAGCTCCCTGCTTCTGTAGAGTGATTTTCATGTTTTCTTCCTTTCCAGTGCATTTGTTGGTGATTATCTTGTTCTTAGATTTATTGCCTTGTTCTGCCTTGGGTGGCTGGTGGGGTTAGTATGCGTCCTCTAGTTTTTCTCATTTCATTAATTTGGGGAAAAGAGACAGCAGCTACAATTCAAATACTGGAAAAGAGGGAAGAGGAAAGAAAAGAAGTCAGTTCTCTGTATTAGAAAGCAGTTCTGAGAAACAGTAACCCTGGGGGAAAGCAGGTATTCTCATCTTGCTGCACCAGAATGAATTTTTAATTTAGACTCTTTCTGAATCCTATTCCAGACAATTAACCCTGGTCCCTTCTTCTTTTGCATTCTGCTGGTTCTCCTGAATGACAGGTGGGGTGTTGTCTTTACAGGAAGAGAAAGAGAAGGTGCAGGCACAGAAAGAGGAAGTTCTGAACCACATGAATGACGTGCTGGAGAATGAGCTCCAGTGTATCATTTGTTCAGAATACTTCATTGAGGTAATTATGAACCAACGCCCTTCCCCCCTCTGACTCTGAACGGAGCCTGGGCTGCACATGCTGCAGCAGTGATAAGAAACAATTCCTTGACGAGATTTTCTTTCTCCCAGAAAATTACTGTGGCGCTCATGTGTTTTAGTAGTTGTTTCCCCCACCACACACACACACACACACACACACACACACACACGCCATTCTTTTTCTTACTTTGATTTTCAATGTTTATTTGTTATACATAATATTTTTAGCCACAATAAAGCTTTTTATCTCTTTGTTGGGGGGAAAACTAGATCCACATGAACTTAGATTTTCGAAGTTATCAGAATAAAGCCATTTACTATAACAACTGTTATTTAAATGGGCACTGTGCTGAGAGCAGGTGTTCAGTGTAGCCTTTAAACAAGGTAGTAAATGTCATTGGTATGTGGTTGCTTTGGGAATTTAGGGACCAAGTTGAACATATTTCAGTGATTATAAGGCGCCAAGTGAAAAGAAATCATCTCTCTCATAAGTTACCATTTATTATCTTGTCATGTTTTTGCACTGAATTTTTCAGTCTACCATTTGTGACCAATTCATCGTGGACTACAAGTGTTAAAGGTTGTTACATGACTGTGTTTCAGACACACACATACACTGCTTCCTTTTCTCAGGAGTCTAGGGGGAGGCTAAGTTAAAAAGCCTCCTTAAAAATCCCTCCCGGACAGAAGTGCTTCCTTACTTTAGGGAACCCAGTGTCCTTTGACAATGTCACAGACTCTGTAGAGGAATACACAGTCAGTCAGCTGGGGCACCTGTCCGTTCTGTGTTAGAGTACGACATGCTGCCTGACCTACACTGCCAGCCTCTTCTTACACAGTCAGCATTAGACAGATTTTTCATTTTAACCCGGCAGGCGGTGAGTCGCCGTTCTTCTAGTTGTCTAGCTTTCGGATCAAACTGGCATTTGAAAAATATTTAACTTCTCTTTTATTTTCCACTGCTACCCTAAAGGCAGGAGTGAGGTCTTTTGCGGACCTCAGGAAAAGTTGGATCATTGGAAATGCCTGGACATAAACATGAGTAACGAAGAGTAGTTTGTATTCTCTTCCTGGGGGTGAGAAGAACTCTGGGAGAGAAACCTAACCAGAGGACTTATGCAAAGGAGCCGTTGAGGCCAGGCTTCCTGTTCCTTCCTTTCTTTTCAGAGCATTATTAATTACAGGTTCAGGCACTGTCAGAGAACGTTTACATTTTTTAGTTCTTTTTCTAGCCAGCCTCTTATATTTATTTTTCAGTCTAGCTATTGCCGCCCTCCTGTTGCTCTAAATCCTGAGTAGTCAGGATGTGCTCACCATTAGGTTCTCAGTCGCCAACTAGCAGCAAGGCATGAGTTGTTTCTCGTAGGAGAATTAGTGATATATTTATACCACAACATTCACATGCTTACTTTTCATGTCATGTCCGGTGACATTTCTTTGCAAAGTGGCTTTCACATTGGTAATGTGGTCTGAGTTTGTGGACCAACATGGGTGAATTATCCTACCTAGGCCCTGAATCCGTGACTTTGAGGAAGGAGGAAATGAACCATCTAATATAAAGCTTAAATTTCCCAACCCCAAGCATGATGCGAATCCCCTTCTTAAGGCCTCCAGATATGACTGGTTAATTTTCTGTCTGGCCTGGAGGCCCCCATTTCACCTTCGCAGTCACCGTCCTGCAGGGCCTCTCTGACGGGTGTGCTCGCATTCTCATTGCAGGCCATCACTTTGAACTGTGCTCACAGTTTCTGCTCCTTCTGCATCAGCGAATGGGTGAAGCGCAAGAGCGAGTGTCCCATTTGTCGGAAGGACATCATATCCCAAACTCACTCCCTGGTTCTGGACAACTGCATTAGCAAGATGGTAGATAATCTGAGCTCAGAAGTGAGAGAGCGACGAACGAACCTCATTAAGGAACGACGGGGTGAGTGGCTACAAGAATACCAGTTCCTCAGCTGAGTCTACTGTAAACTTTGACAGATGTGTAAAGTACTCCACACAGTACTTTTACCTATGTATTGCTTAATTCTCAGAATCTTGCAAGATATAGTCAGGAGGGTGGTAGGTGATATTACCATTTAAGAAAACTGAGACCCGGAGAGACAGAGCAGCTTTTCCAGGATGACACTGCAAGGTAGTCGTATTAATTTTTATTATGGTGGCCATAACCAAGTACCACAAACTAGGTGGCTTACGACAACAGAAATGTATCCTCTAAAAGTCATATGGAGGAGAAGTCCAAATTCAAAGTGCTGACAGGGCTATACTCCCTTGAAGGCTCTGGAGACTTTGCTTTAGCTTCTGGTGGCTGCCGGCATTCCTCGGCTTATAATTGTATCATTCCTATTCTGTTTCTCCATCAGTACATGGCCTCTGTAGAGCTGTCTGTCTTGCTCGTCATACTGTATTTAGGGCCCAACCCAATCCCATTGTGACCTCATCTTAACTTGCTTGTATAGGCAAAGACCCTGTTTCCAAATAAATTCACATTCACAGGGACTAGGGGTTAGTACTTGAACATACCTTTTTATGGGACATTATTTAACCCACGATACTTGTCTACCCATTTTCTTTTGTTTTATGTTCTCTAAAAGACCAAAGCTAGCTGTGTCAGGTCTTCGTCCTTTATAGTTCATCTCATCATGAAAGGTTAATATCCTTTCTCTCTTCTAGGACCCAAGCAGTATCCCCTTTGCAATTTTTTTCTCACATGAGTAGATTTTTTTGCCTACTGAGGTGAAAAAGATGTGGGACCAAGTTCACTCACTGAGTCACAGCCCAGTGTTGGGTATTTGAGCACAGCATAAGTGGCATAAACTAAAGATGGTTTTCTCTTTTAAAATACGAACACCCCTCCAGAGATTTAAGGAGGCTTTCTGTTAATTCACTGCTGTATCTCATATTATGATGTGAATAACTGGGTCCTGTGGGTGTGACCCAGTAGCGGGCTGGGTATCCATCTAAGCATGCATGTGGTCTGGACAGTTTAGTTTCCTAATGACGGAGGATACAGTGGGTTCACATCCAAGTCCTTCTGAAACTCAACAAGGATTTACTTTTCTTTTCTAATACATTACTTAACTCTGAGCATGAAAGCATTCGTGTTTGTTCTCACAGCACAAGTGAATGTTCCTAACCCTGAATCATTTATTTTCTAAATCAGGAGGCAGTGTAGCACCTGGGCTTAATAACAAGTGCAGTTCCTGTGTAAACCCAAGAGTATAGGATGGAAGCCACCCAGATCAGCATGCTCCAGTCAGACACTTTACAGTTGTGTGCAAGACCAGCGCAGAGCTCCAGTGGGGTCGGAAGTGTCATTCCAACAGCAGAGCCTTAGAGTCCACAGCTGGGCGTATATTTTATTATACTATACTATTTTATTATATACTACTACGAAGGCTCCAGTTTGTGCAGGCATGGGTTTATTGCAGAGAAATACCGTGCTCTAATAGAAAGGAGCTCATGACTTATAAACAGATATGCTCACAAAGAAAGAAATGTTTCATTTCACTCCTTTGTTGGCATCCTTCCTTTCTCCTACTTAAAAAAAAAAGTTATGATAAAATACAGATGAGGACGCTTCAAAAATTTGTACAAAACTGTAATCAAAAGAATGAGATTTTCCACTAACCTTTTTTTTCTTTTTCTAACTTTTATTGTGAATTGGGTGAAGGTGTACAAAACAAATCAGTTTTCCATTCAGAATTTTCCACCCATGCTGTTTTATCTCATGGATCCAATCCCCACAGTGGAGCATCACTTTCCCACCCTCCCAGTGTTTTCATCCCTATTCTTTACTGACCACTCTGAACTCTGCTCTCGGGTAAGTCCTGCCCATTTGATCTAAGATGCTTGATTATTCTACGGGGTGCATGCCCTCCCTAGTGTTATTCTTTCCCTAGTGGTACTGGTCCACTTATAGACCTGTTTGACTGTAATTTTAGCCATAGGTGTCCACTAACTTTTTGGAGCTCCTTCATACAATAAAAAAATTTTCCATTTTAACCATTTTGAAGTGGACAATTCAGTGACATTAATTACGTTCACTATATTGTTCGAACTTTATCACTATCCATTTCCAAAAATTGTTTTGTCACCCTAACTCTATGCCACTTAAGCAATAGCTCTCTCTCTCTCCTCCTCACCCGCGGGAATCAAAATTAAAAGTTTATCTCTTGGCATTTGCTCATTCTAGATATTTCGTATACGTGGAATCGTATGATATTTCCTTGTGTGCATTATTTCACTCATGGTATTTTCAAGGGTCATCCAAGCCATACATGTGGCAAACCTTTATTTCTCTAATGGTGCATAATATTTCATTATACTACTACTAAGGCTCCAGTTTGTGCAGGCATTGGTTTATTGCAGAGAAAACGTTTGAGTGTTACTCTGCAGTCATTGGATGGCTCAGACACGTTTCTTGATCAGACAGTTGGCTTAATCTCATTAGAGCACCTTTCAAAACAGTAGCTTCCAAACAGGTTTGCTGGTCAGTTGAAGTCAAGGCAGAGATGTGCTCAGAATAACAACGAATTTTGGGGATTCTCAAGGAGAAATCTTGATAGATTTTCTCCAAGGATACAAGATGCTCAGGAGGGCTTATTGTGAAGTAGTTTTAAGAAAACTGAAAATTATGTTGATGAGGAAAAGGCCAAGGGAAGTTATATCAAGATATTTTTCTCCCCAGCACAATAATATACCTGCTCATTCTTTGAAGGCAAAGGGTGGTCCTAAAAGGACTTTTTTTGGGGAAACTTTACACCATCTACTCTTCAGCCCTGATTTTGCCCCTTCAGACTTTTTTGTTCCCAAACTCAAAGAATACTTAAAAAGAATGCGATCTAAACTGCTATTTTGACATAATGTAAATCAAAGAATGCAGAATTCTCTGGGAAATAGTTAGAAAGATGGAAATACCGTCTTGAGAGTTATACAAACCTAGATGTAGGATATACTGAGAAACAATAGCTTCGTGACTCACTCACTCACTCTCATTCACTCACTCACTCACTGACTCACTGACTCACTCACTCTCTCTCACTCACTGACTCACTCACTCACTCACTCTCTCTCACTCACTCTCACTCATTCACTCACTCACTCTCATTCACTGACTCACTCACTCACTTTCATTCACTCACTCACTCACTCACTCTCTCACTCACTCTCCTTCACTGACTCACTCACTCACTCACTCACTCTCTCACTCTCATTCACTGACTCACTCACTCTCACTCACTGACTCATTCACTCAGTCACTCTCTCACTATAATTCACTCACTCTCATTCACTCACTCTCAGTCACTCTCTCATTCACTCAATCACTCACTCTCACTCACTCTCTCATTCACTGACTCACTCACTCTCATTCACTGACTCACTCACTCATTCTCATTCACTCACTCACTCACTAACTTTCTCACTCACTCTCATTCACTGACTGACTGACTCACTCACTCAATAAAAAACAAAAACCAACAAACAATAGCTTTGCATTTTGCTATTTTTGTTTAATAAAGGTTTCTATGATTTTTAGCAGTGCTTTTTTACACCCACAGGTCACATTTTTTTTTCTTCAGTCACGTGTTGATAGACCCTTGGGCTTGTTTCTACCTTTTGATTATTATGAATAATGCTGTGCTGAACATTGGTGTACAAGTATATCTGTTTGAGGATATATATCTTGGTATACGAGAGGGTATATATATACACTTGTGTGTATATATATGTATGTAAGTATCTGAGAATGTGAGTGTGTGTGTGTGTGTGTGTGTGTGTGTGTGTATGGAATGGCTGAGTTGTTTGGCAATTCTATGTTTACCATTTTGAAGAACCAATAAGCTATTTTTCAGTAATCGCTGCACCATTTTACATTCCCACCAATGATACTTGGAAGTTCTAATTTCTTCACATTATTGATAACACATGTTAGTTTCTTTTTCTGATAGTAGCCATCCTAGTAGGTAGGATTACCCACTGCCATTGAGTCAGTTCCAACTCATAGTGACCCTGTGTGATAAGAGTTTCCAAAGCTGTAAATCCTTATGGGAGCAGATAACTTCATATTTTTCCTGCCCAATGGCTGGTAGGTTTGAACCGCAAACCTTGTCGTTTGCAGTCCAATGTTTACCCAATGAGTACCTTTGAAAGTACCAGAAGAACAAACAAATCCATCTTGGAAGGTAGACAGTCAGAATGCTCCTTGTAAGCAAGGATGATGAAACTTCATCCTACGTATTTTGAAGAAGAGATTGGTCCCTGAAGAAAAACATCATAGTTTGTACAAAAATTGGAACATAAAATGAGGAAGACCAACAGTGAGATGGATTGACAGAGTAGCTGGAACTTGAGAACTGTGAGGTTGGTGCAGGACTGGATGCTGCTTCATCCTGTGATACACAGGATTGTTCTGAATCAGCACCAACTCAGCGACACAACAATGACAAGTGGGTGTGAAGTCACAATCTTGCTTTGGTGTATATTTCCCAGGTGACTAATGACGGGGAGCATCCTTTTGAGTTGGGTCGCCTGTTTTCTTCTTCCTTCTTGGTTTGAAGGGTTGATGTTGTGGGACATGTCCAACATTAACTGCTGAAGAAGTGATGCATTCATTGGCTGTACATTTTTAAGAATCTAAATGGTGGCAAAACTTTATGTTCTCTCACATTTGCCTATTAGTTTAGCTGGATATAGAACAGTGCTTCCCAAAGGGTGTGTGAGAGTGTGCTCGAACAATCCAGGGTGGCTGTAAAAGTATAGTTTCCCAAACCTGTGAGGTCTTTCAGGGGGAAAAAAATTACTCTTTTGAACTATAATCCATAATCCCAGATAAAATGTCAACATCTGCTTTTGCAAAGGTTCTATGGACAAAATACTGAATGATGCAGGAAGCATCAAAAAAGATGGAAAGAATACACAGTC